AAAAATTCTGAAAGGAACAAACAATATTATCAAAAAAAAAAAAGAATAATTTATCTCCTGAAGAATTAACAAAAAAAAGACAACAAAATTCTGAAAAGATTTAAAAATAATATCAAAAAAAGATGAGTAAATAATCTCCTGACGAATTAATGAAAAAAAGACAACAAAATTCTAAAAAGAATAAAAAATATTATCAAAAAAAGATGAATAATTTATCTCCTAAAAAATTAATGAAAAAAGGACAAAAAAATTCTGAAAAAAATAAAAAATATTATCAAAAAAAGATGAATAATTTAACTCCCGAAGAAAAATCTGAAAAGATTAAAAAATATTATCAAAAAAAAAGTAAAATTTCATACAATAAAAGACAATAGAAAGAAGAAAATCAAGATGAATGGTTTGGTGAATGGTATCGACCTCATTCTTTAACCGGTTGGAAAAATCAAAAAAGTATTTCGTTTAAATTATTATTGTACGAACAAAAAAGAAAAATGATTTTAGATTACAGCATACTGTTTGACGATGGTTTGTGTTTTTACTCTGCTTTTGTCTTTTCGCTGCTCATACGAAAATGGAACGTAAACACAACTAAAGAATGGAATGAAAAAGTAATTGAAAAAAATGGTCAAGATTTCTATTCAGAAGAAAATATATTATAACTTCTTTTTAATAATGAAAATATTTCGTGGTTAGAACCTTTAACTTTGTTAAAAGAAATAAGTAAAAATTTATCATTTCTTGAACTGTCAAATTTGTGTCAAACTTTTGCTTACGAAAATAGTTTTGATCGAATAAACATTAAAATTTTTTCGACGAATAAAAAAAATGTAAACGTTCGTTTGTTACATCCTAACATGAAGTCAAAATATAAATGCGTTCTTACCGAATTGTTAAAAGTAGTTTACGAAAGTGCCAACATTACTAAAGATGATCAAAATCCTCAAAGAGAGTTTATCAACGAAGAAGAAAGAAAACGAGCTAATCAACGTAAAAAAACAATCAATACAATAAAAACTGTTTTTATGAAAGGAATGGTTCTTATCACGCTGTAAGCATGCTTAATAAACGTTATGTTATTTTATACAAAAATAATTTATTATTTCAATGTCCAGAATGTGGTCTTAAATATATCAATTCTACTCATGAATGTAAAGGATTTTAATTATCTAACAAATTCGTATACGGAGAAAAAAGACATTATTATGAACCTCAAATCAACCTTATAAATACTAGTCGTAACGTATTTTCGTTTTTTATTAGTTTTGATTGTGAAACGAGCGTTCAAAAACCTAATTTAAAAGAAACTGAGCAAATAAAACCTTAGTCTGATTTGTCTTATTATTGTCACGCTTTCATTGTTCAATGTTTGTCTGAAAATTTAGCAAAAAATTGTTTTGGTTGAAAAAGACGAACGAGGTTAAGTGATCGCGCAATGGATTTTATATTACAAGAACACAATCGAAAATTTAAAAATAAATCCTTTAACTCAATTATCTGTTATTTTTCAAGAATGCGTTTTTTTACTTCAAAAAACACATCGAAAAAATTTGTGGAAAAAATCAAACGAAAACGACAAAAACGTTAAAAAACTCAAAACAAAATTAAGAGTTTACGACTTAATCGTTTATCAGACACTTTAGTTCGTTTTACCTATAAAATATGTTTACCTCGTTTTCAAAACTTGAACATTTCCCATTATGAAAAATGCATTGTGTGGCAAGAAGAAAATCCTTTATGTAGTATTTGTAGATGGCCTGGCGACAAAATTTGCAAATCTGACATTTACAAATATAATATGACTACAATGTTAGATCACGAAATTAATTTGTTAAATCATAACGAATTTCAATTTTATAACGACAAACGCGTTCAAGTTGTTAATTTTGTGTATAAAAGTGTAAATAAATTGGAATTGTTTATGCTCAAATTGTCAACTCAAAATTATTTATTAACAAACGATTCAGAAAAAGTTAAAAGCGATTTGCTTCAAATTTCGACTTTGTCTTATATTTGCTGTAGATGGTGGAAAAAATTTGAACATACGTTAATAACCTACGGTTTTTTGAACGATTATGTTAGAGCAGTTCGTGTACTGTTAGCTTTCTGTCTCAAAAGTCAACAGTACACTAGCGCATGTTTCAACGGTTCTTATCACGGTGTAGGTATCATGACAGTCTTACACGCTGTTCCTTCTAAATCAAGTCAAGTTTAGAACAACTTGGTTTCTCATTAAAAATGCATCATTTCGTTTGACAACAACAGCGAAATTGAAAAAAAAATTCAAAAACGATTTTTCTTCTGCAGGAAAAATAAATCACGTTGTTAGTGGTTTGCTCAACAAAAAAAACATCTAGTCAACACGGACATTTAGCATTGTTTTAAAAAAATTGTTTTGTAGCCAGATTGAGAACTCAAATTAATAATTCTAAAGAACAAAAAGTGTTTTTACCAGTCGACGCTCAAGGCAAATGAGATTTTGATTATAACGAAATGAGCGTCAACAAAATAATTGTCTCTTTTCAATCGTTTCCGTACGTCGAAGATCATAAAAATTATTACTACCTCAAATCACATCACAATCTTTTTTCTTAAGAAAAAGAGAAGAAGAATCAGCCTAACGACGAAGAGAAAACGGATATAAATAACGAAAAAGAAAATCAAAGCAAACAAAGAAAATGGAGCGAGAGCGAAAGAGCAGCACTTTTACTCGAAGAAATTAAAAGAAGAAAACGTTATAGACTGTGCGACTCCTCAGACTCTGATTCTGGATACGAATCAAGCGAATCAAAATAATTATAAAAGCGAAGAACTGTTTTAACTTTTACAAAGCGATTACGAAGCTTCCAATCTCAAAACAACAAAACGCAAAGACAGAAGACAAAAATTAGCTGCACATAGTCATATTTTTATACCTAAAATGAACAAACGCAAAGACATTGACGAAAACGAAATCAAAATATGGGTAATAGAAATTTCGACACGTTTTAACGCTGTCAAAATGTTAAAATGTGAACATTTGTCCGATCACGAAAGAATGCAAATCAAAAACGCTTTTTAAGATTACGTTATTTAGAAATTAAATTGTTTGTCAAAGTAATTTTGTATCCGTATCCTAAATTTAACGAAAACGGAAAAGTTATTAAAAAAAAAGGTAAAATGTAATATAAAAATAAAGCCATATCAGATTTTTTTTCCAACAGTTACGACGTTTTAAAAGAATATTTCAACTCTACTCGTTTTAAACTCTATCACGAAGTTATAAAATATTACTCTATCAAATTAATTTCATTTGATACGCTACAACCTACAAAAACTGTTATCGATTTGTTAAGACAGCAATTTGATTTTGACTATTGTCAAAAAGATTTGTATTATTTTAAATAAAAAATTGTGTTATTTTGAAATTTTTTTTTTTAATAATGAAAAGATATAATCCTCACGATTTTTCTTAGAATTCCTTGCTCGCTTAGCGAAAAATACTATCGCAAAATGCTTACAATACAGGGTGCGGATTCACAACACTTTCGTAAGTCCAAAATTTGCGTAAAGTTTGCGTAAGTTTTGCTTAAGTTCAAAGTTACGCCAAGTCATATTCACAAACCTTGCGTAAGCAAAATCTTAAGTTTTTACGTAAGTTTTTACTTACGCAAAAAGTCTGAAAAACGGTATTCACAACATTTTCCTAAAAAGTGCTCAGCAAACTTTACGCAAGAAAAGTTACGCCTGCTATTTTCTGACTTACGTTTGGCGTAACTTTAAATAATCTACAAAATTGCGTTTTTATTATTGTAAAAGATTTCAGATTTTTTCATTATTGCCTTCAAAGCTATATGTAGTATCCATAATAATATTAAATGATAGTTATATTATTGAAGTAAATAAATAAAAAAAAAAGTATAATATCACTAATATATATATATATATATATATATATATATATATATATATATATATATATATATATATATATATATATATATATATATACATATATATATATATATATATATATATATAAATATATATATAAATATATATATATATATATATATATATATATATATATATATATATATATATATATATATATATATATATATAACAGCATATACAACATGCACACTCACATAAAATGATATGCTGTGTCATATTATATGATATAGCATATTATTTAAAGTGCTTATAATTATATATAATACAGCATATTATGTGACATATGAGTATATTATACCTATATGCCATATATACATAATTAATATCTAGTATGTTGTATTAAATGTTATTTTAATATAATAATTTATATAACATACAATATATAGTTTAAAATATACAAATTATTATATATATAATTATAATATAATAATTTGTATGATATATAATTTATAATTTATATAGCACTTCAAATAATATGTTATATAATATAATATGATATAGCATTTTATTTTATGTGTGTAAGTATGTTCATATACATATATAATATAATGCATTATCTTGTATATTCATATACATATATATAATATAATGCATTATCTCATATGTTCATATACATATATATAATAACACATCTATAATGCATATATATATATATATATATATATATATATATATATATATATATATATATATATATATATATATATATATATATTTATATATAAATATGTTACTGTTACCCGCAGTACCAGGAATTAGCATATAGCTAATGTTTATAATAATATAGATCATATAGTTTTGCAACTCATGTGTTTCCACAATCATCAGGCAAGTAGCGGAAAAATTAACTTCGCTATATATATATATATATATATATATATATATATATATATATATATATATATATATATATATATATATATATATATATATAATAAAAGATAATTGAAACAACTAAGGTTTATCTCAAACAGTCACAGTATTAGTAAAATCTAATATATTGTAAATAAATATAGTATCTCTGTTAGTAATATGAATACCTTGTTACTATAACAATAGCTTTTTCTTATTGATTAGTTTGATTAGATTAATTTAGTTGAAATGGATGTTCAATTGATTCAAGAAATTGAATTACAAAATCAAAATTGGAGAACAGCTCAGCGCACTGTCCTTAATGATTTTTCAGATGTTGAATGTCTTCATAAATTTCGATTACCGCTGCATAAAATATCAGAAATTATTAACACTCTAAATGATGATTTGTCTCCAATAACAGATAAAAACAATTCTATTTCAACAGAAACCAAAGTTCTTGTTGCGCTAAGATTTCTAGCAACAGGAAGCTTTCAAAATACTATTGGTAAAAACTTTTAACATTTATAAATTGATTTATGTCTTTGATGTGTAAAACTGCATTAATAATCCGAAACAAAAATATTAAATAAGCAAATGCTTCACTTTATTCCTATTGAATTTTGCAAATTGATCATTAAGGCAGTATATATATATATATCATTGTAGATTTTTTAAGATACAAAAAACCAAACATGATCTTTAAAATTAGCCTAACATCTTTATCAGAACAACTGTTTTATCTCAACTATGTTTCATCACTAAGTGAGGTTGCATGTTTTATATATAACCATAAATGTATAAAAATGTTTTAGTAAATATAAACAATTCAGAGGTTTCTACATCTGAAGAAAACCTTTAAAATTTATTATTATTTAAATTTAGGAGACACTTCTAAAATAAGCCAGACAAGCACCAGTAGAACAATTCATCAGTTTTGTAAATATTTTATTCAACACTATAGCTACCTTGTAAAATGGTACAGTAGCCAAGAGGAAATGGCTGAAGTAAAAAAAAGATACTTTAAAGCTTGTGGAGTTAAAGGTCTTTTGGGCCTAATTGACGGTACAATGGTGCCTATCAAAGGAGTCACTGGGGCTGATGAGCCAGCTTTTATTTGCAGGTAAAAAAAAAGTTTGTAAATGATAACTACTGTAATCTATAAGTAGGAATGATACTAATAGATAGAATAATAGATAAATAATGATTGATGATCTCTCTGCAGCTATAGGTCTATAGCTATTGCTCAGCTGCTGCAAGCAAGAAGGGACCTTTTTTTTAGCTAAAGAGACCCACTGAGGTTTGGAGCATTTTCCTTTTTTTTTAGAGTGCATACATTTTTTTTTAATATGGGCTCATTCAATATCATCGGGGAGGTATTGAATTTGAAATATGCTACCAGATGCAAACATTTATTTTATTAATTTAGATTTATTTTCTATAAGATTTAAAAGTTTTCAGTTCTAAATTCTAAAAATTTTATTGATTTTATTAACCATAATGTGTAACTTTTTTTTATAGAAAGGGCTATTCTGCTATAAATTGCCAATTTGTTGTTGATCCAGACGGACAGTTCCGAGATGCTGTTATCAAATTTCCAGGATCATGTCATGACGCTTTTATTTATTCAAATTCAACTTTGAAACAGACATTGGAGGTTGATCCAGCTTCAGGGTTTCTTTTTGGTGATTCAGGCTATGGGTTATCACCTGTCATGATAACTCCATTTAGTCCTCCATTGAACCCTGAAGAAATATTATTCAACAAAATCCACTCAAGGGTTCGAAGTGAAATAGAACGTTGTTTTGGACGTCTTAAAAACCGATGGAGGTGTCTACATAAAAGTGGTGGAACACTTCAGTATACCCCATCCAAGTGCTGCTCAATAATTTTTACTTGTGTAATACTCGAAAACATGTGCAATTCACTTGGTTTAGAAGATCCAGACAACATAGAAGTTGTTGAGGATGCAGTTGATAGCAACACTGAAGATAATGGCAACTGTTTTAGTGTCGGTCAAAGACAAACCAACCAACTTCGACTTGGTATAATTAGAAGAGATAATTTAAAAAACTATTTGTTTGCAAATAGACATCATTGTGTATCATGAATAATAGATATCAATGTGTATCATGAATTACAGACATCAATGTGTATCATATTGTATTTAAAAGATAAACTTGTTTTATGTAAAAATTAAAATCTTTTATGGAGAAAGAAACATTTCATTAAATCTTTTTTGCTGTCTATATGTTTGGGTGGCGTGTATATAGTGAAGTTTGTTGAAATTAATTAGTGCATTTGAAAATTATTTTAATTCGCATAGATTTAAAACTCTTGTTCGTTTTATTTTTTTAAGTATCTTAAATACTTGCTGAGTCTATTAGCGTAGCAGGGTGCAAAGAGTAATATTACTCTTTTAAGTTCAAAATAAACCCTACAATCTTATTAACCGTTGATTGCCACGGCAATTTTCAGAAATCTGGCCAAAAATGACGATTTGATTTTATTACATTATATTATTAAAAACTCTAAATCTGGTGCATAGTCATTATCAAAAAGCATAAAAAATGTGTACTATTATTAAAAAAAATTTCCTTAGAAGCCATCTATCGATATTAGCATTGACATACTTCGAGTTTAATGTTATGGGAAGGATTCCACTTGGGTCAAACTTTTTCGTTATATTTTAAATTTTGTTTTTAGGTAAAAATAAGAATAATAAATAAAGTCAATAAGCATTTATCAGTCGACATTAAGAAATAATTGACATTTATTGGTTATTTGAGATAGCTGAAGCAATCTCTTTTAGAGCACTCGCAATTTTTTCAGATGAGTTCGCGAGATTTTCTGTTGATTCAGCAATGCGTCCCAAGGTTACAGCGATACTTTCCAAAAGAGGTTGATCGGTTTGCATAGTTGGATTAAGAGCAGACGCTATTTGCTGTCCGGTTGCAACAATTTGTTCACCAAGCTTGGACATGTTGTTCATATAATTATCCACATTTGATGGCGATAGTTTCCGTTTTTTAGATTCAACATTCTTTTTTGACTTAGATTCAACATTCTAAAATTATTTTTAAACTCCATCTTAATGTTTATAATACATTTTTAAACTCAATATTAAAAATAAAAGATTAAAATTTCCATCATTTATATACATTTTTTATTTATTTTTGAATTCAGTTATAAAAATCCTGGATTGCCAAAAAAACATAAAAAAATCTAAGGATTTTAATAATTACTATTACTATTATTTCATCATAGTAATGATAATAATAGTAGTGATTAAAACTAGTGAATAAAAGTAACGATAAAAAAAAAAACAGTGTTTTTAACTTTTTTTTTCTTTCTTATGTTTATAGCCAAAATCATTTAGAATGTACCTCTTTTGCTGAAATTGTTGTAGACGGAGACGGACTAGCTAATGCGTCAGAAACTAGCAGTTCTTCTGTAGTTTTAGTTGCATCTTGCAACACTGGTGGCACTGAAAATATTGAAGAGTCTAAGGAAAAAGCAGTAAATGAATCGTTGGATGTTGTAGGACTTTGAAGAGTGTCAACACCGCCAGATATTCCCTACAATATAAAAATTATTTTTATGCGCAAAAAAAATTTTTGAGGGGCTTTTGGGTAAAATATTTGACTAAAGTATTACTATGTATGAAACCTTCGGCATTTTGGATACCATTTGCTGATCGATAAAGTTGAGCTCTTCCAAGCATTTCTCACCCCCACCAGTTTTGTTCATACTAAATATGATTCGTGCTGCTTTGCCTTTGCTGTCTGATTTCTGATCAGACAGTTTCTTTTTACATTGATGAACTGTGCGATCTGGGCCAACAAGGGAAACTTGGTCCGCAATTTTACTCCATGCATCGTCTTTTGTAAATTTTGAGATAGCTGAAAACAATGTTTATGTAATTTTAAAATTATAAGCTTTGAAAGCTTTGGTATTAATATTATATATTAAATCTTAATAAAAAAATATCTTTATTACAAGGAGAAAGTTTTCCATCAAGCAATTGCTTTTTTTCGTTGTACAGCTTTATCAAAAGAGTTAGCTGTTCAGTCGTCCAATTTTCAGCTCTTTTTTTGGAATCTTTATTGCTTTCTGACACTAGAATAATAAGTTTTGTCAAAATATAAGCAGCAATATATTTACCATATTGCTATACTAAAATAACATTATAGAACTCTATACATAAATATATAATATAGATATATTTATGTATAATATATTACATATATTTTATATACATAAAAGCAAAAAAACCTACTTCTAAATAGTGAAAGTTGTTTGTGTTCTTTGAACTCAAACTTGATTGTGTCAGCTATTTTGTGATAATTCCACCATATTATATAGTGATCTGTGTAGACATTAGTTAATTTGTAAATTTATGTCTTTAAAATTGTTTCCTTATTACCTCATTTCTTTAGTAATTAGTAGATAATATTAATTACTCAAAAAATTCTTGAGTTATCATAAGAGTGATCTAATGATAAAATGAAAGTTTTCTGATTTTTCTAATGAAAAAATAATGAAATAAATAAATACAAACACGAAAATTAATATAAAAATTGATAGTAGTAGAACTATCTTCTTTATATCAAATTATTGTAAAATATTAGCGTAAGTTTTTGCGTAAGTTTTGCGTAACTCATGCGCAACCTTAACTTTACGCAAATGCTGCGCAAAAGTTGTGAATACCAAATAGTTACGCAAAAAATAGTTTGCGTAAGTTTTTCGTAACTTTTGCTCAGCTACGCAAGAGTTACGCAAAAGTTGTGAATCCGCACCCAGATCCTTACGAAAAAATGAAGTTACAAATAAAGGAAGAACAAGAAACAGAAAGTATCCCTAACTCTGTTCCAGAAGCTACAAACAAAACTGATGCTTCTAATTTAGTTAAAAAAATATGGTTTACCTTCTTCCCTCATCTATGCAGATCCTTTAGAAGCAGATGCCTAATTTTTAGGCAAAATAGACTTTCAACAGCAACTTAACAAATTATTACCCGTCGAAAAAATGCTAAACGGGGAATTGTCAACTTCGCTTATCAACGATCAAGAAAAATGGAATACTTATCTTAACGTTGGAGGTGACCCTCACGCTTTTAGGAAATTAATTTGACAAAACAAATACAACGAATTTAACAATCAAATCGATCGAAGAAATATTAGCGAAACTTTAAGAATGATGAGAAACTTAAAAAAATTTACTCCTCATGAAAATAATAACTCTTTAATTTCCATGCCTCCTAACTCTGTACAATCGAGTTTAAATAATTTATCACAACGATCTACGTTGAACAACATTCAAAAATCTAACAAAAAAGTTTACTTTTTAACTCCCATTTCACAATTTTTAACGTTTTACGAAAAACCTAACGAAGCCGAAATAGCAAATCTTATGGGAAATTTAGCTAGACAAAAATGGACGAATTAGCTCGTTATCTGTTAGACATGTGCTAAAACCAAGTCAATCATACGTTTGCTTTTCATCAAATTTCCTTACGCGTTTATAAACCTAGAAGTGAGCTCGCAACTTTGTACAATTTAAAAATATACATTCTTTATTTGTCTAACTTTATCGATGTAGAAGAATTGTTAGCTAGCATCGTCAACTACGTTTCCAACACTTCTTACGAAATAATAAAAGATCACAAACAATATTCTTACTACGCTAACGAATTTTTAACTTTACTTGTTTCACCTCACATGAGCGATTTGAGAATGGTAGCCGATTACTATCAGATCAAACATCCCACATTTGCCTAACTGTGGAATTATATAAAAACTTATAATATACCTTTTAGAAACGAAAGCCAATTAACGCCCGAAAGCACCTATCAACAAACGTTTTCGAGACATCCTTATACGGTAATGACTAGTTCTTTTTTAGAAAGCGATTCTTTAACGGACAAAAATTTTCGGGTAATGTAGCTTTAAATCTTTTACCCGAAACAAAAGACATTGTGAACGCGTGGTTGGTGCAATACGGAGAAATGTTTAGAGGACACAAATTTGACATTTTGTCAGAATTTATCAAAAGCAATAACGTTTATATGATTGACAAAAACATTTACAACCTCATGATCAACAATTACGATACGAACGTAGTTTAAAACTTACCTGTATGCGAACACATGATATATTTTACTTTTAAAACGTTTTTTTTGAATCCGCTTTCTTCACCATTTAGAGACGTCGGCGACGTCGTGCACTTGCAAGACAACGTGGCGACAACGTGCATGAAAGCTAACGAGTAAAGTTTTTTAGAAAACATTAAAAGTAATTCTAATCAATTTTACAATACCGAAGCAAGCTTTAAACAAAAAACGTTAATCAAAGTGATGATGGTAATGGGTAATTTATATAGTTAACTCTATAAAGTACCCATTACCATCATAACAACTCTCTCATTTAATTCTTCTTCTTACTTCTTATAAAAAATGTTTTGAATAAGTTCAAGCAATTTAATTGACATTCAAAAATTTGCAAACATTTTAAAATCAGCTACCAAATTAAAACCGATCAACTTGTTTCTTGAACCGAAGTTGATTTACTTTTTCCAATCGCAGTTTTTACAAAAAACACCTACTTTTGCACCTCATTTTTTATTACCTACACCCGAATCTATGTCGTATTCTCCATAAGAATCTACTTCCATAGAAGTCAAAAAACCAGAAGAAAATGAAGAACCTGTTGTAGAAGAAAAGCCTGTAGGAGCTACCGCTTTACCTACCGAAGCAGCTCCCGCCAGTTCTTTTACTCCGGTAGAAAGTTTTACAACGCCTGTTAAACGTCTTTTAACTCGTAAAAAGAAATATCCTCTAAGAAAAAAATTCGAAGACTTTAAAAAAAAATGGACGACGCGTTTAGCGATGAAATTGACAAACTTGTTGAAAATCAACTTGACGAATTACCTAGTCGTTTGTTTGGCATGACCAACTTGTCAATAATAAAAAAATAATGGCACAAATGAACACTTTGAAAAAAAATGCTACAGATTTAAAATTTTACGAAAAAATGATAACGTTATTAGAAGATTCGGTTTACGCAAAATGGGAAGGAATGATAACGGCTTGGTCTCATCAAACGCAACTTTTAAAAAAAACAACTAGCTTCAACGTCAAAAATCAAGCACCTAAAAAACCTTACGTTTACGAAACTCAACAATTTTCTCACTACAACCGCACTAATATTTTCAAGCCAATTTAGCAGACATGGAAAATTTTAACTTTAATCCCGGTTATCGACCTGATTATTGTTTAGTAGTTGTTGACGGTATTTCAAAAAAAGTATGTTTGAGAGTTATGAAAAAAAAACTGCCGAAAAAACAGTCAGCAGCTTTAAACTTATTTTTAAAAACATTTTTAAAACTGTTCAACAAGACGACAAATCTTGTATTTATTTACAAACAGACGAAGGTACAGAGTTTTTTAATTCCAAAATAAAAAGAATGGTGTGAAGCCGAAAACATGCATCACTTTCATATTAAAAATTACGGAAAAGCCTATATCGCAGAATCGGTCATCGGACGTTTAAAATTACTTTATCAAAAATATAAAAACCAATGAAAACTTAAAAAAATGAATTGAAGTTATTATATCGAAAAAATTGAACAAAAATTAAACAAAAAAGAAAAATCAACGAGCGGAATAAGCCAGAAGATTTAGACGGCGACGTCTAAAATTTTAAAACCTCTTTCTGTCGGAACAGAATGTTATTTGAGAAAATACAAAAAAGAGGCTAAAGACACCTTTAGCAAATCGAGCACGCGCAATCATCCGTATTGGGACACTACAAAACGCGTCGTCGTCATAAAAGTTGCCAAACGCACCAACCCATCGGTGCAAGGATATATACCGGTTCATATTTATACAGTAGGACAAGTCGACGATATAAATACAACGCATAAAGTCAAGAGAGAAGATTTGTTACCTATTAACGAGGAGGACAAAGACATTTATTTTAAAAATTTTATAGAATATGTAAACACTTTTTATAAACCTTTGAAAAAATCTTTGCTAAAATCTGTAAAGTGAAAAAAATGAACAATTTAGTTTTTGATGACGTTTTAGATGTAAATAAATATGATTGCAGTACGTATTTTTTTCAGTCAAATTAAAAATAAAGAGCAAGAAAGTGTACATTACAACGTTTTGAACGATTTTAGTTTACCCTTATCTGCTAACGATCTTGATAAACCCATTTTTAAAAACAAGACCATAATGCATTTATCATCCATGGACGTTGCAACTAATTTTACACGTATAGACGAAAACATATCGATAACAGAAAACAGTTACGGATTAAGAATGCAAACCAAACCGTCTATAAAAGAAATAATGACAGATATTCAAAACGACATGATATCCAATCCTAATAGGAAAATTTCATTTTATCTTGTAACTAAAAAAATTGTTTTGTATACCGATTTTGCTGTTTTACCAGGAGACACGTTTCAAAATTATGAAATAATAAGAGTTGAACATATGGACGCAGTTCATTTGGAATTCATTTGTTCGATTGTTGGTTATGGTAAACTATTTGGAGTAACGTCACTGAGTCCGTATCAAGACGATTTCTTAATTAGAAGATTAGAACTTTTTAATACAACTTTAAACAGAAGATTGACTTTTGCAGATTTTTTTTCAAATTAATAAAACAAAAGCAGTAATACTAGCAATCAAAAGTATTTCAATTTAAAATACTTATTTTACACCAACACACATTTACCTTATGTAACTAATAACGAAAATACTATTATTTCAAAACTAAGTATTGAAGCAAATGGAAATGTTAAACAATATATACAAAATTACTCTAACATTAATGCACCAAACTATAATTTTGTACGGTATTTTAAACAAAAAACCAACAAAAACTCAAATAGCCCTTCCAATCTTTATCCTATAAGATCAAGTCTCTCTACCAAATTAAACGAACAAAGATTATCTTATTTTGTTTTTTTTTTCCAACCGAACAAATGCATCACAATACACAGTACAAGGTTTTACATCATTAATACAATACGATGATAACTTGTACAACTTTGCGTTATCTACTTAAACAAGCAAAAATTTTATGATTTACGTAAAACATCCACAAGTAGCATCAAGAGATATAGCTAATCTTACTCCCAAAAGAGCTGTTATTTTAAATAATACAGAAGAAACTTTTGTTCGTCCTATTGTTCATATCATGGTAACACTTAAATACGGCGGAGCGTATTTAAGTGTTACCATGATATGAACAATAGGACGAACAAAAAAATGATATGAACAATAGGACATTTTTTATATATGTTTTAAAGTCGTATATAAAATCACGTATTTAAGATTTGCGATCAAGACGTGAGTAATACCTTTGCAAGATAACTTAAAAATCTTTTGTGTCGTAATTTTTTATTCATTTTACTTTTTAAAAAGAACAATCTTTGAATATTATATTTTTTCTAAAAAGTAAAATTAGATAAATAATTGTTTATCTAATTTTACTTTTTATCTACTTTTACTATTTATCTAATTTTACATTTTTATGTAATTTTACTATTTATCTAATTTTACATTTATCTAAAATACTTATATCTGTTAATTTAAAATAATAATTTCAATTTCAAATTATTAGATGCTTTTAATGCGAAATTATTGTAAACAAAAATATATATGTTATTTTTAGAGCAAAGAAGTTTTGATTTAATAAAAACAACTTAATATATCAAATCAATATTTAATTTAATCACAATACAACATTTTCAACTTGATGCTTGATCGCGTTTTAGTTGTCCAGGGGCATTCTTTAGCTTATTTCCTATAGCTGCTGTAAGTGCTTTTGTTGAAACGTTATTGAATTGCCTGGTGACTACCTCTAAAACATAAATAATTTGATTTTCAGCTACTAATTTGGAAAAAAAATAAAAAATAGTTTACCATATTATATTAAATATTACTCTTTGTTATGCAATAAAATAAATTAACTTTCTTACCTTGAATCAAACTAAAGAATTCTAAATTCTTAAATGCTATCCCTTTGTCTAGATGACCCTTTCATGTTCATTTTCGACATTACAGAAATGCTAAATAACCTTAAACACATTTTTTTAAATAAACTTTTATTACATAGATTTATGAAACAGAAATTTTCAAATATATAAGTTGAGTTATTTATTTTAAATACAAAATTATAACATACCTGTCTAAAATATTGCGCACCATTTCGCCACAATCATTTCCTCCTACACATTTTAACATTTCTATCTATAAACAGATATAACAAATGTTACAATAAAAAATGTTTATAAAGTTAGAGAATTAACCAAAAACTAGTATTACTAAAAACTTCAACATAATGCGTGGGGGACCTAAAAAATAAAGTGTCACATAACTTGAATGGTCCTGTTTTGACACAGCTAGATTACTAAGTAACAAGAAGAATAAGTTTAACTAGATATTTAGTAGGTTACTTCACTTTAATTATATTTTCTTTTTGCACTTCATGCCTAGGTTTCAAACCAATAAATTAACTTACAGCATTTCTCCTTACTGCTGCATCTTTCAATTCATCATTTGCAGCATATAGTTCTGAAATGTCATCAACTTTAACTATATTGATAGCTCCACTGACATTCGGTGTGTTTAATATTCGGTTAATCCCATCTCTAATTTCTATTAACAACTTTAGGGATTGCTTTCGATATTCTAAATGATATGAGAGAATATTTAGCTATTTAACTAGAATGGCCCAATAACTAATAAAAACATTTGACTTACTTTCTTCAGACATAGAAAATTCATCTTTGTTGTCTTTTGAAGCCACAAAGTTAATAATTTCTATAAATAATAACATTTTAAAACTTTTAATAAATCGCTCAATAAATTTACTGACAACTTTGATAAAGATATTAAAGAGTATTGTAGCTAATATTAGGTAACATATTTAATAATATTACTGATGGGTATCTTGATTAAGTATACATAAAAATTAAAGTGATTTATTAAAATTCTATTACAGTGTGGCAATTTTTACTGATGGTATAGCTGTGCTATAGCTATATATACCAGATGGTATAGCTGTGCTATAGCTATATATACCAGTGTTTATTCCATTGTATAAAATTCAAATGTAAAAAAAAATTATTTTAAAGTTACCTTTAATATAGACATAACACTTGAAATGAATTTAAGAAAGAAAAAATTTAATAAAAACAAACATAAATTTAATACATTTTGTAAAAGAGAAAACTAAAATCACCTTCCTTAGCAATTGGCAAGTCTTTTGCTTCATTTTCTAAAGAAATGATAATTTAGATGGGTTTCTGTTTTGAATGATTTAAATATGCATTTGATTTAAAATATAAATATTATTATGAAGGAAAAATATTAAGCAATTTGAAATCTTAGCACATCTAACAACTAATTCTACATTCAATATTATATATTTTCAAACATTCATACTAGATTTTTTAATTGACGTTCCTGTTGTAAATTCAAAGGGACTTGTATGTCGTTTTGTTTTTACTGATACTCTAGGCTCTGTATGATTGGTATGAAAATCTACAACGTGAGATTCTAATAAAAGCATATATAATAAAATAAATATATGAACATTAAAAATTATTATGTCAGAACAAATATTTCATGATTTTACTTTTGACAACTATTGGTAAATCTTGAATTAAGCTTTTTATAAACAAACTTTCAATATTTGTTGAAAAAACAACTTCTTTTATATATAGAATGAAAACTTGCATTAATAATAAAGATATGATTAAATACATAATTAAAAGAAAAATAATACTTTTATTTTCCTTGAAAGTGATTATTGGCGGTTTAGGAAGTTCGGGTTCGACACTAGTAATGATTCTTAATAAAATGTCATAAAAATATTTTATAGTTATAAACATATAAATTAAAAACAGCATAATAGAATTGAGCTATTAATATAAAAATCTATAACCTGCAGCATTTTCCAAATCTATTTCCTCCTCTGAGCTACATTGCTCTGCTCCAGAAGTAAAATTATAATCAAGACATAGCTGTTTATCTTCTAAAAAAAACATTACCAATATACTATAACCAGACATATTACAAATATAGATTAAAATAATACAAGCAAACCACTTACCACTCACAATTTTAGTTTTAATCCATTTAAACTTTCTCCATGTTTTGTCTAATTTGTTCCAAAATGGCTCTTTGGGCTGACATAGTTGACGGCCAAAATACCACGCACTTATTTTCATTTACCCAATGTGATGGAATTACATCTTCAAATTGAAAACCAAATTTTTTTTCCCACACAACTCTTGTCAAAGTAACTTCTTTTTAACAGTTTTGCTTGCCATATTTAACATAACCAAGGCTAATATAAAAGTAATTATCAAAGATTTTGTTTTTATATTTGACTAATTAGTAGATCATTGAATAAGAGAAAAGTAATTTTTCAGTTTTCTGCTATGCCTCATTGTAAGATCAATATCACCTTAATCTTTTTTATAACAAAAAAAATTTTAACACAAAAATTGAGAAAACTAAAGGAGTAATTAATATAATCAATTTTTATGTTAAACGTTGTATATTTTAAAAAATCTGCAATTAAATAAACAAAAATATTATGTTTACAAATATTAGTTTTATTTTATACAAAGATCACTTGTAAATAAAATCAAATAAATTCATGAACTAATGACATACAAATAAAACCATTTTTATAAGGTAACACAACAGCTTTTCTGATAAGTTTTGACTTACATAACATTTTTTGACAAAAACGAATCTTTTTCATATCTATTATACCAACATTTAATTCCTTAGAATCAATAGGACTTTTATACAAGGATACAAGTTAATCATTCTTAAAGGTATCACATATACAATTTTCTCCATCTATCTCTTTAACAAAACAGAAAGTGCTGTCTTCTAATAAAAATAAAGAGTCACGAAAACGAATACTAACTTTATTGACCAGGGTTTTTGTATTTTTCATAAAATGTAAATTCTCCAACTCAGAAAGCTGTTTTGCTACTTGCACAATAGGACTTTTGGAGTGTTTTATATACTTCTTTAATGCTTGCATATAATTTTCGAAAGGAAATGAAGACAACTTATTTAAAGAACACCCAAAATTTTTTACATCATCATGAACATGTATAATACAATGAACATTGTATACACAAAACGTATTTCCGTATAAAAATTTGGCTTTTCTGCAAAAATATACTAATAAATTGTAAGCATAATCAAGATAGTAATTACAAAATTCATCATTTTTAGACAATAAAATACGCATTGCAATGCTAAATGTCAAAAAATGTTCATATATTGCATCTGAAACAATGCCCTTTAAAACAATAGCACCTAAATAAAGTAAAAACTCCATAATTCTGTTGCCTTCCAAAATAATAAATCTTCTAAAGATCGTGGTTGCCATGCAAAATCTGAAGGAAGTTTACCGTTATAAGAAATAAGTTTAGCAGATATTTCTAATACCTGTGAGTTTGATAATTTGCATATCCTAGGACCAGATTTTAGAAAGATTAATATTATTTTGTAACTCCAAGGCACACTAAATGCATATAATCTAATATAAAATCTTTGATGCAGTCAAAATCATCTATTTTAACTAATGGTGATAGTTGCACTTGATGGCTATTTATATACAGAAATTGATTAAACTCTTCCTTTATACGAAGCGGATAAGTAATATCATCATTATAAACAGTTCTGTTACTATCACGAGAACCTTTTACTTGACATCGCTCACATGCATTATAACCTGTATGACCAATTATACACTTAAGAAAGGATCGTGCAGGTGCATCACATATAAAAGCTATTTACAGCATAAATTTTATCATTAAAATGAATACCATCAATTTTCAAAATATTTATTTCCTTTATAAAATCATCAAAATAATCTTTAACACAATTAAGTTTGCTTGTTCCAGAATATAAAGCAATAGTAAAAACATTTGAACCATCAAATTTACCCAAAATAGGCCAAAGCTGAACTTTTGATGATTTGAATAAAGGAAGTCCATCAATGTTAATATATAGGTTTATAGAATCGTTGTTTAAATGAAAACTCGAAAGAAAAACTAACTGCTTTAATACTGAACATTTTATACCAAAATAAATATATTCTCCGCCACATTTTTGTTTATAATCAATTTCTCTAGGAGTTTTTAGTAATGTACGTGAATCTTTTGGCAAATAGCAATGTCCACTTTCCCTTAAAAGTTTGAGTGAATCGTCCATGCAAGATCTTGATAAATTGTGTTTACATGATAAGCTAACTAGACCATAAGTGATATCTTTATCTCCATTATCACTGTGACCACTATCATTGTCTAATGTAGGATGCATTGCTAGAACATTATCAAAATCACATTCATCATAACTTCGGTCAGACTCTAACGATATGGATTTTGACGTGCTGTCTGACTCAGAGAGCACACCTAAATCGATATTTTTACTAGTCACGTCGTTAGTGCAAACTGAAACTACGTTTTTAACAAATAAATCAGTAACCAAAGAGTTATCTTCATTAGAACTAAAACTATCCTCCTCTTTAACGATTTTCTTAAGTTCAGCATTTAATCTTCTGTATTTACGATAATACGCCATTTCTTTACAAGTACATAAAATCAATGACCTACATAAAACGTGCTCGATTTGGTTTAACGACGCGGAAACTGAAAGCCTCTTATTGAAAGTACTTCGTATTAAAAGTACTTCTCAAACAGTTTATTTAGACGCTGTTTAGTATACAGGTATACGTATTTAAAACGTATACAACTTGTATTATTTGTATAATACGAAAATAAGACAAGAAGAATACGTATTGGACACGTCTTGTGCCAGCTGGGAGTTAACGTTAAAGACTCTAACAACAACTACACAGAAGAAAAAATGACATTGACTGGTTTTGTAGACATTTTGAAAAACGTTGTTGGTTCTATTAGTACAAAACTTCTCTACATCTCTTCATTCCCTATAGGTATAGCCTACAGGTATAACCTACCTATATATATAATCTACAGAATTGTTTGCTTGCTTTAATCATTTTTTTTTTCTAAAAACAAGTCAAAGAAAATATCATCGACTTACTTTACAAAACATACCGCTAGCTTCTTTACCTATACCTTTTTTTAACGTCGATCAAATCATATGGCCTGAACGCGAATTAAAAATGATAGATATTCTTACTGAAAGAATAAATTTCAACTTGCCAAATAATTTACTTAGTTTAAATTTAATTAACCTTACTTTTAACGACTATATTTATGAAGGTACTAATATCTACTCTTATCAGAAATTCCTCAATCGATACAATTTTTCATCCATTCCTAACGACTATTATGGAAATTATTATACTTTTTGGTGTTTACCTTTATTTGAACGAAATACATACGAAATCAATTTAAAATCACCGATTTAAATTTCTAAAGTTGTAATTACTTCAAATGTAACACATAACACAATTATTTTGAAATATAAGGAAACCAAATTTCTTCTTACCATGCTCAATTTGGTTCACCTATTACGTTTACTACATCTTCTTCAAATTTACCTAAAGAAATTTATAAAATAATATTGGCAGATTTATCTATAATTGCAAAATACAACGCAGAAACTTTTATTGAAGTTTTAATTTATTGTGAACAAACCAAATTTATTTTTTCGCTAACTTAAAAAATACTTCTAGTTACTACGGGTGCTTTTGAAAGAGCTACTTCACCGAGTTATAAAACGTGGTTAAACGGAGCAAAAGCCATATTGCAAAACAACAACATTAAGGATTTAGTATTTTATTGTACTTCTCTTAACGGACAATTTATTTATCAAAAAAAAAGAGCGATGGAAGCATCGTAAACACTTGGTCGGACAGTTTACCTTTGAAAAATATCATTTTAAAAATGTATCAACCCATTGGAAACAATCCCATACCTTATACTTTACTTTTGCAAAGATATCAATACAGTTTAAATAACGAAAGCAATCCGTTTACTATAGAAATAGATCAAAACATGATTAATACCATGTCACAAGATTTTAGAATACAAATACAAAAAATTGCTTTTTTAAGATGTGCTTTGATGCAAATAAGTAGTTTTAATAATGCCGTTTCTAATTTTCCTACTCCTACTGACACTCTTATTTTTATTGAACCCGCAATCGTTTCGTATTTTAATTTGTCTGATTATAACAATATTACTCAAGTATCAGTCAATATCGATTTTACTAAAATCGCAAAACAGAAATACAAGGACAATTGACAACTTTTGATATTAACGACGTTGAAGATTGGAAAAAAGCAAAATGGACTTTTTTTAACATAAAAAAAGAAGCGCTTCAGTTTAGCAACTTAAGTAGTGCTGTTTTTTTTAATCCTACTTTAAAATTTCAAATGATACCTTTTTACAATTGACAACAAAAAAAAATAAAGAAAATGAACCTTTTATATTCTGTAAAACAAAATAAGTCATTTTGATAATTAGAAAAATTGTTATAAAAAAATGTGCTTTATTTTTTTTAAAAAAAAATTATAAAGAAAAAAAATATATTTTTTTTATGCTAAAGGTAGATACAAAAGAAATTTAATTAACGCACAGATACCGCAAAATTTAAAAAACTCGCAAAAAATACAGTTGAACGATATTCAAAATAAATTTTATTAACTTTAAAATCAACTGACACATTTTCCTACCAAATCAGAAGTTCTTAACATTAAATCTGAATTAGACGAAAAATGTGAACTATTAAAAAGATTAAAACAACATAAAGAACAAGACGATTACGAAGAAAAACAACAACGAAAAAAGAAAATTGTTAAAAAAAGTTAAATCGAAAAACCAAGTCGTAAAAGACTAAAATATTTAGAAAAAGAAAGTGAGAGCTCTCAAGAAGAGGAATAGGAAGAACGGGTTGAAAAAAAACCAATGAAACCTAAAGTTTTGTTGACTTCACACATTTGTTCTCAATGTTTTCAAGAATTAAAAGCCGTAGACGCTTTTCAGGGATTATGCAGAAATTGCATTATTCAATAAAGAGCTATTTTATCCATTCTTTACATGCAAAATAACATTGAAAAAATAGGAAAAAAGATAAAACAAATAAAAAAAGTTTAAATGAACTTGGTTACACGCGTGCTTTGAAAGACGCTAAAAACAAAAAAATACCATTTAAAAAAAATACTTCCGACTCTGACGATGAATAAATTGAAAAAACTATTTATTAAATCTTTTATTCTTATTTATTATTTTAAAAACAAAGAAAGAAAAATTAATTCATGATGGGTTCTATGGCAAATTATATGTAAGCGGGTGACGGTAACCGTTATACACCCAATAATCATGGACCCCTTACTATAGACAATGTTTTAAAAAACGCAGAAAAGACGAAAATCGTCTGTTGCAAAAAACATTGAGTGGTGACATTAGCGCAAAAATAAGCGAAGCTTTAAGCGAAAAATATCCTGGTTTTATGACAGCTTTACCTCAAGACGAAGTCATTTTAGTCAATTATCAAAAAATAACACCTGATTTAACTTCCGAAATGTCAACCTTGATTACTGTTACTAATACATTAAACGAATTGACAATACCTCAAAATTATATTTTAGAATTTGGTTGGGGTCTTTATAAAACGTTAAATCCACCAACAAAATTTAACACTACTGCAGGCAATACAGATATAGTCTTGATGTCAAAAATTGCTTTAGTAGAGGGTATTATTTTTTACTTGTTTAAAAACATAAAAGTTTTTCCCAATTATCAAAAAAATAACACTCTATCTGCCAACAACATCGTATACAATCGATCATACGATCGTTTCAAACAAATGTTTATTAAAAAAAGCTATTTGAAAAAATTTAGGGAAGAAAATCTCAACAAAAATTTAGGTTTAACTGAAACACTAACAAATGGAGCAAGCTGGGACGAAACAAGAGCTCTTATGACAACAAATGATGCTGCAGCAAATATAAGAATTGTTAATAAGGTAGACGGATTTGCCAAATATCAAAATATTATGAGAACTACTTATAATAGTAGAATGAACGAAGAAAGAGGCTTTTGATTTAGAGTTACGTTGTGTTTGTTGTGCGAATTTTTTCAAATTAAAAGCTATTACGGAAAAGACAAACAACTCAGACTCGAATTCAATATCGAAACCGACATGAATCAACTTTTAGAATATGTAAGAGGATATAGAATCAAAGCTAGTTTACCTTTAGAAAAATCTTTATACATTAACAGTCACAAAGACGTACCTTATACTATACTTTGAATTGCTCATTACCAATGTCGAAAACACAAACACGGTTACCTTTAATTTAGGTAACATAAAAACGGCAGACCTTGTACCTCATTGTATTTTGTTTTCCTTGCAAGCTAGAAAAGAAATGGATCATCTCACTAATGCTGAAATGGCTTGCACAATGATAACTAAAATTTCCTTTTTACAATTTTAGAAGAACGTTTGTCAACTCACCCGGCGACACATGAAATAGATTTGCAAAACAAAGTAGAAGATCAACAACTTTGTTATCGCGGTTACATTTCTTGTTGTAAAGGTAACACGCCGTCTACTTTAAACATTAATTATTTTGCAGAGTTTTATACCACAAACGATGACACTTTTATTTAAAATTCAGACACTTATTTTAGTAAAACGGGTAATTTAACAGAACCTTTAGCAATAGACACGACAAGCGATTACAATTTTATCGACGACAAACCTCCTACTACCATTGCTGGGAACAGCTCTTTTTAAATTGTCGTCAATTTCACAGAACCTATTAGAGCTGAACTCACTATATATCTATATATCTACAATACGGAGCGCAGTTGATTTAAACCGGAACAGGAGAAGACGAAAATTATACATATTATCCTGCTAAATTTAAATCATCTTAACTCGTTATACAACGTGTTTGTTTTGGTTAAATTGACCATGTTTGAATTGTATTTTTTTATGCATGTACGACTATTTAATCAAAAAAAATTTTAAAAAACATTATATTTGTCCTTATTTTTTTTAAAAAAATTATATGGCGCGAAAACGTTGCAGTAGTTGTAGAAAAAAAAGAGGTAAAGGTCTTAGACGTAGACATCATCGAGGAAAAGGTAGAATATTTACTAACGTAAAAAATATAGCTAGACGTTTTCTTTGATCTGACGAAGGAGGTTACGCGCTCGATTATCTTTAAAAACAACGCAATGTCTAGAAGACATCATCGCAGACATTACCGCAGACGTCATCGAGAAAAAAGAAGAGTCTATTTACCTTTAAAAGGAGCTGGTAGAAGAAGACGAATGCGCGGTAAATTTCTTTCGATATTAGGCGCTTTATTGGCTGGTGGTTTATTACCTTCCAGTGATATTTTTGTTCGGAAAATAATTTTAGTTTTAGTTTTTATTCAGTTTAGAGGCAAAGTTTTTAGTTCTAGTTCTTATTCAGTTCAGTAAATAAATTTAGTTCTAGTTTTTATTCAGTTCATCTTAAAATAATTTTAGTTTTAGTTTTTATTTAGTTCAATTTTCGTTTGTCGTATAAATTTTTTATCTCATCTTATTATAATTTAGTATAATTTATAAATAATATAGGCATATATAATTAAAAGAAGTAAGTCTTAGTTCTATAAACAAACAAAAAAATGAGAACTTAATTAAATGTAATACACCCAGTCCCATGGCTAGAAGTTTAGAGCCCCGCCCACCGCCCTTAATAAAAAACACAACAACATCCTGTCCTTATTGCTCTAAAACTTAAAAAAATTTCAATTATTAGGTATAAAAAAAACTCCTCAAATTTGGTAACAATAAAAACTAATGAATAGTTATTGTATAGACTTTAATAATTACTCATATATTTTACAAATAAAGGGCCTAGTGATTATATGATTATCATCTAGACTAGATGATAATTTAGTTTTAAGAAAACTCGCATTTCCAATGACGCTGACATTCGATTTCTCTGTCCATTTGTGAGCAAGCCACAGATTGAAAAAAGTCTTTCAACATATGCTTGAGTTGCAGGAGCTGCAATGAGGTCTTTAGCTAATGGTGCAATATGTGGGTAAACAGCACGTCTCATCTTCCAGAAATTTAAAGCATTTTGGCACATAGAGCTGTTCCTTATTTCAATAAAATATTTGTTGAGTTCATTTTGTGCTTCATTACCTGGAATAAGCTTTATTTTTTCTACTCGCTGTTTTGCCGCTAAAAATTTCCATTTTGTTAATCCATTTATTTCTGGAGCAATCTCAACAGAAAGAGTAGATGCACTTGCTAAAGGTAAATTATGTTGCACCGATTTTTTAGCTTCTGACAAAATGTATTTCTTTGCACACTCTCTGATTTGTGTATGCTCATTACCTAAAAGAGCTATTGCACATGTGGGGTCAAGTAGACATGCGGCACATGGCAGTGGATTAAAATTAGGATCGTTTGGCTGCAAAAGAACGGCAAAACGACGGCGTAGATCTTCAAGCATTTTAACTGCTACATCTTTGGCATCTCCAAATTGCTCAAGGTGACATTCTAAATTAAGTATTGAAGGTATAACACTGGATAGTGAAAGTGCATTCGTCTGAAGAATATCAGTTTCATTGGCAAAAAGTTCTAAAAGATTGACAAAATCCTGAAGCATTATCCATTCGCTATTGGCAAGTGAATCAATGTTAAGGTCTCCAAGCACTTCGTTGATAGATGTCTTTATTTCCAGAAATCTCCGAACCATAAAGTAAGTGCTGTTCCATCTTGTAGAACAGTAGCTGATCACAGTCTTACCACATTTGTTGATTTGCGAACTTTTCCCACTAATCCACGTACCTTCAAAAGTAAGCCATGATATTTACCATCATATGCAAGTTTTACAACTAGCTGTATAACATGTGCAATGCATCCTAATCTTCTAAATGCTACGTTTTCTATTACATCAACTATCAAGTCAACATGTTCCCATTCTTCACTATTTGTCATATTCTCATCGTCTTCCAGATCTGTTATCTGCTCTTCATTAACCTCACTTTCTAATTCAATAAGTATATCACGTTCAGCTTGAGCTTTCATTCTCGACAACTTTATGCCTTTGACCATGTTTGCTCCATTGTCCGAAATAACAAGCAATATTTTTTCTCTGGAAATATTCCAATATTTTAGGCATTTTTCAAAACAATTAGCAATTTGTTCACCTGTATGTGGATGTTTCACAAGATACAAATTAAGCAGAGCATGTATTGGTTTTTCGGATTTGATGTGAAAAAAACAAACCGAAATTCCTAAAAAGGACGCAGTAAGATCTTTTTTAGTCCAGCCATCAAGGCATATTGTGAAGCGCCTGCCTTCAGATATGAAGTCACGAAGTTTTCTCGTTAAAACAGTAAATTCTTCATTAAGTAGGCTAGTAATTTTGGCAGAAGCAGGCAATGAAAATTTATAATCCAAGGTATTAACTAACTTTCTAAAACTCGCATTATCCACCAATGTCACTGGATTACATGTTGCAATTATCATTTGAATAAGAGAGTTCAGTCGAATTTTATGCTCGTGTGAATTAATAGGCCATGCGGTATTCCTACGATTAATGCATTGAATCAAGGTCTGGTTCTGATTTGAGGACGATTCTAAAAGAGTGGGTCCATTTTCATCCACTACTTTTCTCTTTATCCCTGTTTGCTTTTTTTCACTTAATTTCTTTAATTCCGACTCTTCCAGCTCAACGTGTACAGACTTATGGTTTCTTGCTAAATGTAGCTAGAAAAAAATAAACATATTTATATAATTTTTTGTTTGTATATTTATATGTTTATTTATCTATCTGTTTATCAATTAATGTATAAATAAGTTCGTATACGTTATTGAATAATTACTCTAAAATGATAAAAATGAGTCGTTTGTTTTAAAATGAAAACGTATCCTCTAACAGATAAACTAACTTTAAGATTTGTTGGGTTCTTTCCACACAACTTTGTATTGCATACTTTTTCACCATCAAGTAAAACTAAACATACAGATTTGTCGGATGACGCATCGTATTTAAACCATTTCCATACTGAACTATTCCTCTTCCTACCAGCAAAAAGTTTACTCAAACTCATCACGTAGTTGTGTTGGTCTTACAGTTTGATTTTTTTTAGTTCGAAAAAATATATTCGAATAAATATATTCGAACTATATCATAACTAAACTTATTCGAACTTAATTGAATAAAATTCAATTAAGTTCGAATAATATATCATTATAATTTATTGTAATATAATAATTATATATATATCAAATAATTCAACTCGTTTCAAATCTAGAACGAAAATATTTCGTTTTAAAATAATTTTCGATTCAGTTTTTATTCCGTTCGAAAATTTAAAATTATCGTTTTTATTCTGTTCTCGTTCTTAAAATAAATTTCGTTTTAGTTTTCGTTTTCGTAAACGAAAGGCTTTTTTTTTCGTTCTCGTTTTCGTTCTCGTGTACGGAAATATCACTGTATATAAGTATGGTATTGTATAAATAGTTTATTTATACTATACCATACTTATATATACTATATATATATATATGTGTATATATATATATATATATATATATATATATATATATATAATATATATATATATATATATATATATATATATATATATATATATATATATATATATATATATATATATATATATATATATATATTATGTTTAATGAATTTTATAAAGTAACAACTTCTTTAATTCATTCAGATCCTTCGAATTGGATAGTCTTTTATATATATATATATATATATATATATATATATATATATATATATATATATATATATATATATATATATATATATATATATATATATATATATATATATATATATAATAGCATATTTTTATTTTTTAATCAACTAATATATATGTGTGATATATATACATATATATATATATATATATATATATATATATATATATATATATATATATATATATATATATATATATATATATATA